CCCACCTCTTCCTGTCTCTGTAGGGGGTGGGATAGAGAGAGAGAGAGAGAGAGAGAGAGAGAGAGAGGAAGGAATGATGCTGTAGTATGTGTAGTACAAACGAGCAAATATTTTCTTTTTATATTTTCATGGATTTGCGCACGCGTGCGTTAAACAAACTCCAAAATTGACAATATTCGGTTTTGCAATCAAACACACACTAACACACATATCACGAGTATGAGAAACAAACCCAAAGGAGCGAATATGTCTTTTCTGCCCGAAGTCTCTTCTTGCTCAACAATGTTTGCTTTCAGTTTTGAATTCAAACAAAAGTTATCCATGCAAACGACAATGTTTCTAACAACGTTCTCGCACTCAATTCGCGATTAACCAATTATCACTGGCTTCGTTTCTAATGAGTTAAGACAAATGAAGTGCGCTTCTCGAATGAAAGCTTGTCTTTTTAAAACAATAACATATGCGAAAAAGAATAGAAAAAGAAAGACAAAGAGCGATGACGCCAAAATATCGACTATTTTCTTAAATTAAAACTAGCCTCTTCTCCGCGCACAGTTCGTCTAAACCGAATGAAATACTTCGTTAAATTCAACGGTAGAGAAATATTTGGCCAATTTCCTAGAACGTGTACCAAACTGCATTTTAGACAAATTAATTAGGTTTCGTGGAAAATGCCCATCAATTTAAACCGAAAAAGAACATTGTAACGAAGCAACAACAAAAAAGTATGATCCAAATAAATGTTTGATATGCTTGAAAATTGTTTTTATCACGTGATGCGTAATGCGTGAGGTGATCTTCGTTTCGGATGTTTGTTGTGTCTTGTTTTTACCATTTGTTTACGTTTTCTTCTTCTTGGTATACACACTCACACACACACACGCGACAATTCTGTCGCTCCAATTAAAACGTTGCATAAACCAGACATATTTTGATCATTAATGCGTAACAAGCAAGCGCAAATTCACGAAATGACCACGTAATAAGACGGCGACGACGACGAAGAAAGAAAACTAAAACACGGAGATGCATTAAAATAAATAGGTCCATAATGGAACTTTTTATTTATTTATTCGACAATGGACGCGCAAAGGTGAAAAAGAAAGGTTTGTGTTTCTTTTTTTTTCTGTCTTGGGTTGTTCGCGCGCGTGCGGAAAAGCACAATTTCGAAATAACATATATAATGCCATTCGATTTAATAATAAATTCGGTACATTTTTGTGTCTGTTTACATCGCGTTGCGTTGTTAACGGTCTGCGGTACTTAGATTGACTCAATTTAATT